CAACAAAATGAAAAAGCAAAGAAACAAACATACAAATCCAGGAGAGCCCATCTCAAACTAACACAAACAAAAATAAATAAATAGGTTTTGGAGGTGTGGTTCTATGGTAGTATACCAGACTAACAAATGCAAGGTGCTGAGTTCAAACCCCAGTGTCACCAAAAGAGAAAAGGAAGTCGAAGAATATTCATCCCCACAGTCACACGAGAAAGAGCCGCCACTAGGAAGCTCCAGCGACTCCTCATCCTTGGGATTGTGACAGTGCAGAAAAAAATGTGGGGAAACTCTGCCCTAAAAACAATCTATCTTAAGCCGGGCGCTGGTGGCTCACGCCTGTAATCCTAGCTACTCAGGAGGCTGAGATCTGAGGATCGCGGTTCAAAGCCAGCCCGGGCAGGAGAGACCATGAGACTCCTATCTCCAATAAACCACCAGAAAACCGGAAGTGGCGCTGTAGCTCAAGTGGTAGAGCGCTCGCCTTGAGCTGAAGAGCTGAGGGACAGCGCCCAGGCCCAGAGTTCAAGCCCCACAGCCAACAACAATATATATATATATATATGTGTGTATATATGTGTGTGTGTGTGTGTGTATATATATATAATATTCTTGATTATTTGATTCCTGTGGGGGTCTTTTTCTAAAAAGACATTCAAAACAAACCAGGTTTGTGGGAAGAGCATTGCACGGCGGGGCTCGTCCTCTGCTCAGATCCCGTAGTGTCCCACTCCTGCCCCTGAGCCCACAGCTTTCTATAAACCCCCTGCAGTGGGAGCGAGCGTGGTCTCTGTGGCCCCCAAGTCCCTGTGAATGTGGCACGTGATCTGGGGCCTGGTTTAGACTCTCGGGTCCCTGGGCCCTGTGCTCACTGGAAGCACAGGACTGGGAGGCAGGGCAGAGAAACACCTGCAATGGAACTTGGAGAGAAAGCCATCATTTATGATGACAGCCCACAAGTCTCTGCAGTCAGTGCTTGAGGTCTGATTACGCTGTTGGGAAGGATTTTGGAGTGACTGGTAGGTAGACTTTGGGGGGGGGGCAGTACCCAGGTACTTGACTTTTTTTGCTCAAGGCTGGAGCTCTACCACTTGAGCCACACCTCCACTTATGGCTTTGTGCTGGTTAATAGGAGATAAGAGTCTCTCATGGACTTTTCTGCCCAGGCTGGCTTTGAACTGGATGTTTAGAAGTCAGTGTCCTGAGTAGCTAGGAGCTACTAACGCCTTGACTTTTTTAATGTAGTAATTGACTGAAACAAAACTTTGCTCTCAGTCCTGTTTCTTTTTTTTTTTTTTTATCGCTATCCTCAAGTGCTATGATAAACTACAGAGCGTTTCCACAGGCTCCCAGCCCGTGAGGCCGGCGCTGGCTTTGTCCAGTTGGAAGCGAGCCGTCAGTCTAGGGTTTAAGCCCCAGTGATTGAGTGTGGCCGCAAAGCCGGGTCTGATGTGGCCTGCATCGTACTATGGGGGCTTCCATGAGAAAATGACCACCAGACACAGGAACAAGGCCCGCCTGGCGAGGGGCCCTGGAGCGTCAGCTTTCCTAGCCACTGCGGGCCTGTGGTTTAAGTGGACAAGGTAGCGTTTGTCGCTAACTGTTCCCGAAGGCATTGGGAATTCCACACTGACCTCACCAGTGACCATTCCTGCCATGGCAGCCATCTTATCCTAGAGGGCTTTGCTGGGTGCCCATGGGCACTGTGGAAAGAGGGCGTAGGCAGGAAACAAGTGATCTTTAGAAGACAAGAATGGCCAGGTATGGTGTCACATGCCTGTAATATCAGCACTCTGGATGGCAAATTTGAAGCAGCCTTAGCAGCTTAGCTAAATGTTGTTTTGAAACAAAAAGTAAAATAGTAGAACATGGAGGAAATGGAGAGAGAAACAGGAAGGGAGAGAGAAAAAAACAGGACAAAGAGACGGCGCTGGGAGTGGGCTTGGCTCCTTGGGCTATCCCTTCTGGCTGAACCTCTAGCGCACATCGTGTGACTCTGAAGAGCTGATCCTGAAACTAGAATTTGTCAATTACTTCTCAACACGAAGGGTTCCCTTGGGTCACAGAGACAGCAAATCCCATTTGCAATTTCCCGATGCTGTGGAGCTGGATGGTTGCATGGACTGAGACTAGGGACTGAGTGGGAACTCAGGAAGGACAGGTTGGCAGCTGTCTGCCCCGCCCTGTGCCCTGGCCATGTCCACGGTGTGGCAGCTGGGCCTTCTCTACCAGTGTGAAAACCTGTGCCCTGGCCTGTCCCAAAGCTGCACAGCTCCTCTGGGCCAACCCTGCCCAGTCAGCTCGCGAGCCTGTGTGCTAAGCGGGCTGGCGGGGCGGGAGCAGCAAGCTGGCATGGCCCAGGGTCTGCAGCCTGGCAGCCGGCTGCTAAGGAGCCATGCCTGAGGCAGGGGAGGGGGGAACGGTCCTGGCTTGAACTCTGGGCCTAAGTGCTGTCCCTTGAGCTTTTTAATTCAAGGCTAGCACTCTACCATTGGAGCCACGGCTCTACTACCAGCTGTTTGGTGGTGAATTGGCAATAAGAGTCTCATGGGCTTTCCTGCCCAGGCTGGCTTTGAACCGCAATCCTGAGTAGCTAGGATTACAGGCGTGGGCCGCCGCCACTGGCTCAAGTACGTTTCAGTGGTTCTTTCATCCCCTCTGAATGGCACTGCCCAGCTTTCCTCCACCCGCACCTCAGGCCCCTCCCCAGCTCTCTGTCTGGCCAGGGATTGATTGGTTTGATTGAGGAGAGCGAGGATGGCCTTGGAGCTCGTGCTAGCACCAGGACCTTTTAGCTGCTTTTCTTGTTATTGCTGTAAATAGTTGATGAGTACACGCAGCCTGATCAGCGCCGCCCCTCCTCCCCGGGCTCTTCCTCCCCCGGCTCTGTCCCTCCTCCCCCGGCTCTGTCCCTCCTCCCCCGGCTCTGTCCATCCCTTGCCATCTTCGCTCTTCTCATCCAGGCTTTGGGGCAGGGAGGAAGGACTTGTGCTGTGATGTGAGGAAAGAGAGCCGGGAAGGGTGCACAAACTACTGTCATTGTCATAAATCCTTGAAATCTTGCACAGCCAGGTGAAGCGCCCTCTGCTCCCGGACCGGGTCTGTGGCTTGCAAGTCAGCGGTTGGGTTGAAGGCAGTGAGCGACACATGTGGGTGTATCTGGGTGGGAAGAGTTGGGGAACTCAGCCATGGGGCTCTGAGTACAGTCCCATGAAGAGCCTATGTGTGCCAGGTGTCCAGTAGGGGTTTGGTTTGCGGCAGAAGAGCGCAGTTGACAGGCTAGCATTCTCCCTGGCTTTCCTCAGTGAGGTGTTGGCCTCCGCCCCCAGCCCATCTGCCTTTGTAAATGGGATGTGAACTCCTTGGAAGAGCTGAGTTAGGGACTTGCTGGGAGAGTGAACCCTCCGCTGCGGTCACGTGCAGTGCCGGTGCCGGTGCTGATGCCGTTACTGCTGCCACCCTTCCCGCCCCTCAGTATGGAAGAATTGTGCAAGGTCAAGTTCGTCTGCAGCTAAGTTCCCAGGGCACTGTCGGCAGAGCAGCTGGGGATCCCCTGACCTTCAGGCTAGAAATGTTTCTTTGCCACGTGACTTCTGAGCGTTTGGAAAGAAACAAATGTCTTCAAATGTTGGCATTCCCACAGCGAAAGCCCAAGGAATGGGTCTTGAAACTGAAGAAAATCTAGCAACAGGAATTCTAGACTTTTGTAGAACCCTGGGATCCAACCATTTAGGGCTTTTGTGACCCACGTTTTTCTTTCTTTCTTTTGTTGTCAAATAGACATAACATAAAACTGACCCTTTTCCCCAATCATGGCGTCAAGTCAAATTCACATTGTTCTGTTCACCTTCCATCCCCAGACCTCCTTCACCTTCCCAGATTGAGGCTCTGCCCCATGGAGCCAGCGAGGCCTTCCTCCTCACCCCCCCCCCACACCCCCCCACCCCACCTTGGCTAGCATCATCTGCCTTCTCTCTCAGCGTCCGTGATTCATATGGCATTTGCCCTGGGGCTGCCTTATTTCACGTGGCAGCATGTCCTCCGGACTTCTCCGTGCTTCCTAGTTAGGAAGCTAACTAGGACCCAGAAATACCCTGTTGTAGAAAAGACCACACTGTGGTCTCGTTCAAGTTCATGATCTCATTCCCGCAGTCACCTGTCAACAGATGCAAGGCTTGCCCCCCTCCCCCCCCCCCCCCGCCCCCTCCCCGGCTTTCTGTGAGTGCAGCTGCCGTGAACACGGGTGAACTTCCACCACATGAACACGGGTGTACTTCCACCACATGAACACGGGTGTACTTCCACCACATGGCAGAAGTCATTCTCAGCATCCAAGAACTAGCTGCCTCACACGGCTGTGGGGTGGCGAACACCTGTGTCCCTGCCCCTGGGATTGTTTTGTATTGACATGTTTTATTACCTTTATGTAGTTGTACAAAGGGATTTCAATTCGACATGTCAGGTTATGAGTATAATGCATCCCCAGCCCGTCTCCCCTTCGCCGTTCTCCTCCCTCCCTCCCAACCCCACCCATCTGGGATTGGTTTTGTTTGTTTTACTTATTTATTTGGTCAGTCGAGGGCCTGAACTCAGCCTGGGCGCTGTCCCTCAGCTCTTCAGCTCAAGGCAAGTGCTCTACCACTGAGCCACAGCGCCACTTCCAGCTTTTTCTGCTTATGTGGTACTGAGGGATCGAACCCAGGGCCCCATGCGTGCAAGGCAAGCGCTCTGCCACTGAGCCACCTTCTGGGATTGTTTTTAAATCGCATCCTTTCAGGTGAGGCCCAGGGTCACAAGCAGGACCGCCTGGCATGACTTCCGGGACTAAACAGGCTCTGGGTTTGTGCCAGGCGCTGGGTCAATCATCATGGGGAGGGGCTGCAGGTGAGCCCCTCACTGCCTGACTAATGGTTTCTCTCTTCTCACGCCTGCCCTCCCGCCTCGCCCTCCTGGCCCTTCCCCGTTGCCTCTCTGCCTCCTCCTGGCTGACTCCTGCCGCTCTCCAGTGCGACCAAGACCAGTGCATTCAGAGCACCAAATTCGTTTTGCAGGCCGCAGCCACACCCCTGCTGCAGAGCGAGCCCAGCCTGACCAGCGAGGAGCTGCACCTGCCGGGGAAGCCGGGGCTGGGCACGCCATGCACCAGCCTGACCCTGGGCCAGCCCACCCCGCCCTCCTCCATGCCCAACCTGGCCACCCAGACCACGCTATCAGACATTCTGCCGCTGAAGGACGAGCACGGGGGCCACCAGTTCCTGACCCCGGACGAGGTGCCCTCGCCGCGGCGGATGCTGGCGGGCGGCAGCCCCCTGGCGCACAGCCGCACCATGCACGTGCTGGGCCTGGCCAGCCAGGACTCGCTGCACGAGGACTCTGTGCGAGGCCTGGTGAAGCTCAGCTCCGTGTGACCCAGGTGGCTGCCCGGGGACCGCAGGGCTCGTCCCTGGGCAGTGGGGGGCTCACCCACCCCGGGCAGACAGCGGCCTCGGGGCCTGGGACACAGAAACCGCTTAGAGACCTAATGGCACAAGACAGGCGGGCACCCGAGGCAGCCCGAGTGCTCAGACAAGAAGAGGAAGAGGAGGAAGAGAGAAAGGGCCATTTTCAGGCCGTTGGACTCTGGGGGTGACCTCGGGGAGGGAGGACCCTCAGAAGCTGCCTGTAGGCCACAGCACTGGTGGCAAGCGCAGGGCCGCGAGTTCAAACACCAGGACTGACGACACTGCCTGGGTGCTGTGCTTCCTGTCTGCTGCTGGTAGACCAGATACCCGGAAGTTTCCAACGCCAGTGGCCGGACTGGAATTGCATCTGCTGTCCCACTACTTGTATTCGAAATAGACATGTCCTTTTGTTTGTAATTGAGAAGAAATCTTAAAAAGGGAGAGAGAGAGGGGGGAGACCAGATGTGGATTTGCATGCCACGCTGCAGTCTGTGTGCCGGTGCTGTGGGTATTCCAAAGGAAACGCTGCTTTCTTTCCTAGTTTAATTTCGTGAAACTGTCGAGTGCTGTTGTGTTGGAAGACAGTGCAATAGCCGGGGCTGTGGGGCGCTGCGGCCTGGCGTCACGCGGTGGGCGGGGCCGCGGTAGCGGCTGCTGGGGCCTGCGGTGGGCGGGGCCGCGCTAGAGGCTGCTGGGGCCTGCGGTGGGCGGGGCCGCGCTAGAGGCTGCTGGGGCCTGCGGTGGGCGGGGCCGCGGTAGCGGCTGCTGGGGCCTGCGGTGGGCGGGGCCGCGCTAGAGGCTGCTGGGGCCTGCGGTGGGCGGGGCCGCGCTAGAGGCTGCTGGGGCCTGCGGTGGGCGGGGCCGCGCTAGAGGCTGCTGGGGCCTGTCCCGGCCCGCCGCGGCCTTTCGCCGTCCGTCTGTCCAGTACCTAGCGGAGGCGCTGTGTCCAGCCACCCTGCCGCAGCCCTCCTGTGTGACGAACTCCCTCCGGACAGCCAATAAAGCGGTGACCTCCGTCATGTCGCCTGTGCGTGTGGTGATCCTTTCCTGAGAGCCCAGCCTGGCGCCTGCAGAGAGCTCGGTCTGTTTTTGGTTTTGTTGGGTTCGAGACAACCCAATTTCAAATCTTTGGGCTGTGGGCTAGAGAACGGTTGTAGGGTGATTTCTTAGATAAAAGATGACTTTCCTGTCCACTTCTCTCAACCCTTTATCTGTGTTCAAGGATCTTGACTGACCTTGTCCTCCACTACAGATTCCCACGCAGGGGTGACTGGCAGTCATTGGAGGGAAGGGTAGGAGCAGGGTGCTGACAGGCTGTGCGCCCAGTGCCATGCAGTGCTGCTGTGTCCACACACCTCGGAAGCACCAAACCTCAGAGGTCTTGGTAAAGGTGTCAAAAATGAGGAAATCCAGGCGCCAGTGGCTCACGCCTTTAATCCTAGCAACTCAGGAGGCTGAGATCTGAGACTCAAGATTCAGAGCCAGCCCAGGCAGGAAAGTCCTTGAGACTCATCTCTAATTAACTACCAAAAAGCCAAGAGTGGAGCTGTGGTTCAAGTGGTAGAATGCTAGCCTTGAGCACTGAGTTCAAGCCCCAGTAGAGAAGATTGGGAAAGGTTTGGCCCAGATGGTAGATCACCTGCCTAGTAAGTGCAAGACTCTGAGTTCAAACCTCCACACCACCATATTGAGCACTGGGGTGGGCAATGTTGGGAAGCAGACAGTGATGGAATTAAGGTCAGTGGTGCGGACGCTCCGCATGCTCAGGAGAGTCCTTGGAGGCAGGGGGAAGCCAGCCCAGCGGGGCTGCATTCCAGTGCTGCTTCCAAAGGGGATTCCAAGTCAGGGGTTTTTCCCTTACAACCATCTGAAAGTAACATACTTGGCTCTCACATGCAAGCAGCCCTACATGACTCGCACCAATAGGAAGAGCGGCTCTCTTCTAGAAAGAGTTGCCATTGTATGTGAAAGAAAAGGAAGACGAAAAGCATAATTTCAGGCATTAATTGGGACACAAACCAATCCTGTTGGGGACATCACTCTACTGAAAAAGCCCTCTTTTGAGGTGTGGAGCCGGCTTTATTTCTCATGCTGCATGCAAGTATCAAAACACGGAAAAGGTAAAGTACATGTCGCCATTTATTTTTCCACTTTTTTCACCTCCCACTGCTAAAACCTATGTACAATTTAGGCCAGAGCCCTCCTTACGCAATCACACACACACTCACATGCTCGGCCCGTGAACACAATGCCGGCCTCACAAAGGACCTGTGGACCTTCTGCATCTTCTCCAACCATGCCTGCCTCCCGCCTGCCTCCCACCTGCCCCCACAGGCCCTGGGAGAGAGTTGGGATGATGAGAAAGGAAAAGAAAGGAGACTCCGCACCACTCCGGGTTATGTATGACTTGTCCATTCCAGATCTTTGCCCCTGGAAAGCAAAGACTGGCCTCTCTCTCTCTCTCTCTTTTTTTTTTTTTGAGGGGAGGGGGACAGGGCAAGCACTGGAGTTTTTAACTCATACTTGCCAGCCAGACACTGTGCCACCGAGCCAGGCCAGCCTTTCTTTACTTGTTACTTAGGAGATAGAGTCTTTTGCTGTGTCATATGTCTAGACTGTAATCCTCCCATTTTTTCATATCCCATCATTCCTGAGATGACAGGCCTATACCGCTAGTTTCAGTCCTTCCATTGAGATGGGTCTCAAGAGCTATTCTGCCTGTTAGCCTGAAAGCTCAATCTCTGATCTCAGCTACCCTAGTAGCTAGGATCATAGGCAGGAGCCACCAGCACCCAGCTGTTCCTATCATTCTTTAATATAGTGATTTCTGATATTTCTATAATAAGCCTTCATTATGAAAAAAATCCAAGAAGCAGGGATCATTGTAACAATGTAGTTGGCCCTCTGTCTCCTCTGGTTCTATATTCATGAAATCAACCAACTGCTGATTGAAAATATTTGAAAACCAATTGTGTGTACACTGAACATGTGTGGACTTTTCTTCACCCTTATGTCCTAAACAGAACATTATAACAGCTATTTTTATAGTGTTTATGTTGTATTGGGTATTAGTCAGCTAGAGATAATCTAAATTATTGGGGATTGCATGCATAAGTTATATACAAATGCTGTACACATTTTATACAAAGGACTTCACCACCCAAGAATTTTGGTATTTGTGGCTGCCCTAGCACCAAACCCCTAAGGAAACTGAGAAGTGATCATGGTTTTTATGACCCTCCTGCCATGCATATACATGCCATCCTTTATCAAAGAAGGTTTGAGCATTTTGGTGGAATGAACAAGGCTATTCAGGGTCCAGAGGGAGAATAATTTGAACAGATTTGCTGAGACATCTTAAAAAAAAATTACAAGGATGCCCACAGCCTTTTCCCATGTGGCTTGGGAACCGCAATTGTGTTCCCAGGGCTCCCCCAATGGTAGGGTAGGGGGGGATGGTGGGGGTGACCTGTTATCTGATGATGGCAGGATTCAGTGTTTCCCTTTAACACACACACACACACACACACACACACACACACACACACACTCGCATGTATCCATCTACTGTGGCTGAGTAGGCCTAGATATTTCTAAATGCTTCCAATGAGTTCATAATTGATTGCCTGCTGGCTAGGGAAAAAAAAAGAAGATAAATATTTTATCATGCTATTAAGCCTTGGACACACACACACACACACACACACACACATACGCACGCACGCACACACGCTTCTGTTGAAAATTTCATCTGCTTTCATTTCCTCAGGAATGCTCTGGGCCCTCCAGGCCTTCCCAGGCATGCGAGGCTGAATTTAGCCTGAGTGCCCAGGTCTGCCGCCAGAGCACGAAAATGCAGACAGCCTGCTTCTGACAGGGCGTGATGACATGTCACTTGCTGGGGACAGTCAGCCCGGCATTTGTGCTGTGCTTGCTTGAGGAAAGCTGCTTCCAGCTTTCCAGCGGGATTTTTCAGCCAGAAGAATATGCCGTGTCCCGCCTGAGCCAGCAAAGACCAGATCGCCGTCTGGTTTCCTTAACTCTCCACCCCTAAGTGTGTCCGATCTTCCTTTGTGACCAGCATGCCAGATGGATTCAGACGGGCACAGAGCCATGTCACTGGGACAGGAGTCGTCATCCCAGAGCTAGTCGTGCCCTGGGCCTGGGGGTCGCTGGCCTCCCAGGCGCAGATGGAACCATCTGTGAGAACGGGAAGGCAAGCCCGCCCCAGCCTCTTCAGGATCCAACTGCACCCTAACTTAGCTTTGCGATTTGGAACTCGTTGCAAAGTATCAGAACAGAGATCGTACCCAGACGTTCAACCACCCCAGGGCTCTGTTCTGCTCACATAATTTTTGACCAGGTTAAAAAGAAAACAACAAGGAATAAATATGGAATCTATTTTCTAAGTGCTGCTTACAACTGTTCTAAATCTGAGCCTAAATCAAATTGATGTTTATATTTTTGTATTGAATGCATGAGTTGTGGGAATTGGAAAAAAGAGAGAGAAACTTTCAAATGAGCTCTTATTCCTCCTGGTCCCGGTTACCTATTCTGGAGGTGTGTGTGTGGCATTGTATGCTGTTACCACATTAAAAAAAAAAAACAACTGTCAGTCACTCAGTCTCTCCCCCTCTCTCTTCCTTTCTCTTCTTCAAGAAAAGTTATCATTGAGATTTTAAATGAGCTAAAGTGCCCTTTTTTTTCTAGGAATGTCACGGATACTAATAGTTTTGTAAATCAGTAAGATCATGCAGACGAGATGGATTTTCAAACATAAGTGGCTAATCCACACACTGAAAATAATGGGAGATGAAAGATGAGATTAGATTGTCTCTGGGGCAACGTACTTGCAGCTGCCACAGAACTAGATAAATGGCTTCAAATGGAATTGTTTTTTGATCTCATAAACCACAGAAATGACGATCAGAATGGATCAGAGCACGCAGAAGCACCCAATATGAGCACAAGATTTTTCTATCAATTGGTAATTGATGAAATTTTAGACAGAAAAAGTTTTGATGAACATGTGAATGAACTCTTCTCATTGGCCTGGATATTTTAAGATTCATAGTTAAAGCAAGAGTCCATGTGTCACATCCAAGGAGACCTGATGTGGGGGGGTGAGTCTACATGAATGTTTTTAGCCTACACGGGGACAGAAGGTGGAAGCCTTCCCAGAATTTTTCCCAGAGCATTAAGAACTGGCATCTCACAACAGTTCAACGTCCTGGCATGAAAATGAACAGCAAAGCATTTTAAACCCTTCGTGGATTCAAACGTGAACGCCTGCACACATGCGTCGCGTTTTTAGAGAGGTGTGTGTGGCCAGTGCCTCCCGTGTTTGAGGCAATGTCCGCAGAACGGATCTTAAACCAGGAACCTATTCAGAAAGCATTTACTCCTGCAGTACAAAA